TTTGAGACTTTAGTCTTTGCAACTTTACAGATCTTCTTTATGCACCAAGAGCTTGTAACACTTCAAAGAGAAAGGAAAAATTGAAATCTCATCATATGAATATGGAATAGTTCACAGAAAAATTAAAATTGTGTCATCATTTACTCACCCTCATTTCAAACCTGTATGACTTTCTTCTGTGGAACACAAAAGAAGATATTTAGATTATTAATATATTTATTTGTAGGATTTTAGCACTTCTACTTACATCGTTCCAAAGTATATTGGTTTTTTGAGGCAAGAGGGAAATAAGGTCTGTGGTTAACACAAGATATTTTCACATTTTACTCTACAACATAAAAATACATCAGTGTTTTTTAAAGCTTTTACATGGCTTGAAAAAGGCAGTTGTTAACAAGTGGCTAAATGTCAGGTTGTCTGGGACATTTTTACACCAAACATCATTGCACCAAACAGAAAAAATCCTCTACTCACTAGTCCACTTTCACAGCGTCATTGTGTTTACAATCATGCTCTTGCGAACTATTATAATTCAAACTTTCAGGAAAAATGTTTTTAAAATGAAGACTGAAAGCGTTGACAGAAGCTTAATGGTGGAGGCATTGAAGTCATGTGCTTGAGGTATTCGGCCAATCACAACGCACTGGATAGCTGGCCAATCAGAGCACACCTCGCTTTTCAGACCGATGAGCTTTGTAAAAATCGACGCGTTTCAGAAAGGCGGGGCATAGAGGAGAAACAATAATGTACAGTATGTGGAAAATAATGTGTTTTTTGAACCTTAAACCACATAAACACATTTCATTACACCAAATACACAAAATAATGTTCTTTTTAGCAGCATCATATGACCCCTTTAAATAAAGCCTTTTAAACTGCCCACGGGGTGCTGCACTTAGCAGAACCTGTTGGTGTGGCCCTCAGAGGCTTTAAGATGTTTTAAAACCTCTTTCCTTTATTAAATTAAGGCTTTAGTATACCAGTGAGGCTTTGGGTCTACTTCTATTTGGGTTCTAGAATAGTCTAACGTTTTAGATTTTCCCAGGGTGGCTAACAAAGCCTTTTGTTCACAGTGAAATGGTTTTAAATGAACAGTTTAAAATATCTGAATGGGGATGTTTAAGTCAATTGCAGAGTGTTAGTAGAGAAAGTGAAGCTTCTCTTGCTGTAGCATTCATTGATTATATAGTTTGATGCATTACTGAACTACTGTACACTGGGAATCTCATGAATTTTGATGTGTTTGATGAATGGTATCTGCTGAGTTTAATTTATATTCATTATGACAGCCTCTAAGTATCACTCTGTGTGTGTTTTAAAGGGACGTAAAAGAGATGCTTGTTGAAAGTGTGTTTTGTTGCTCTGTTTGTCACTGCACGTCTCTGGAGTAATTGATGCGGTTATTCGAGGTTCACTTAAGCAGATGATGAGAAAGCTTTTGTTCTATTTTTAGGAGGTGTGCCAATAAATATTCAGCGGTGCGTGTGCATGCATGTCTGTGGGTTTCACGGGAATCATGATATTCTTAATTAAGCTTAAGTACATTTCTATTAGCATATTGAAATTATAATTACTAACTTTCAAAGGTCAGAAGCACAATTAGACAGTGACCTTTGAATATTTGAAAAAGACATAATGGAACAGTACTTCAGCAAATGTTATAAAAGTGGTTTTAATATGTAGCCAATACTGAACTAATCAGGATGAAAACTAGATTTTTTTTTTTCTACACTACTCTTATCTTTAGTCTTATCTCTATATTATTAGCTCATACAACAGCCCCAAAAAGTATTTGGAAACTTATCTAATTGTAATATAACTGATCACAATGAAAACTGGAAGTTGTTTTTGCATTACTGTTTTATCTCTTTTATACAATAATATATAATATTATATTATTTTTAATATAATACATTATTATAATATTTATTATGTAATTAGAATTATTATGTAAATTGTTATATATATTATAGGCCTATAAACATAAGTAACACCAAAAATTGTATGTCATTGCATTAGATAATAATATCTAATATTAACCTAACATTTATGTATTTCTAATATTTCCTATATTATATTAGATGTTAAAGAAAGATGTCACAAGCACACTTTTCAAGCAATACATTTTACAAAAAAAAAGGTTTGTTACGTTGAAAACAATAGATGTGGTGTTTAAAATTAAAGGGAAATAATGAAGAAAAATCAGATGCTGCTTGATATTAAATTAAATTATTAAATTATTTTTATCTAATGCAAAGCTATTTATACATTATAGGGGAGAGTGGGGTAAGATGAGCCACTTTTTACTTATGTGGTCCTCAAGATAAGGGAAAATGACGCTGAAGTACAATCAAGGTATCTAAAGTAACTTCAGGATGTTTCCTGTCATTTTAAATGATCAGAATGTATCTATGACAAAAGGTTCTAAAAAATATGGCTTCTTATAAAAAAGTGTTCCTGTGGCTCAGTTTGCCCCAGGGTGGAGGTAAGTTGACCCGAGTCAATGAGTAAGATGAACCATCTGGTAGTAAACTGACCATCTGACTGAATCTGGTTCAAACCCATGTAAAATTTGAAAGATAATTTACCTCTTTTAAAAACTATATTTTTTTCATGCATAAACTATTTATGATTGTCCACACCATAGTCATTTGGAATAGGCCTCCTTTTTCATTGCTATTTTTGTTGTTCTTTTCTGTGCTCACGGCCATTTTCCTCTGTTTTTTCCCGCAGGAATGACATGTCAAGCCCGAAGCTCGTACCTGAATTCAGAGGTGCTTTGGGGAGAACGTTTCACCCCTGTGCTCTCGCTGGAGGAGGGATTTTACGAGGTGGATTATGACACGTTCCACCACACCTACCCTGCACCAACCCCTTCCTGCTCCGCTCGCGAGCTAGCAGAACTGGCAAAGAAAGGGATAGCTATACCTTTGCCCCCTATTTCACCTCCAGCAACCCTGGGAGAGCCCCCAAGCCCAGAGAAGATGCCTGAGGAGGAGACCAAGGCAGAAGAAGAAGAAGAAGCAGAAGAGACTGTTAGCAATGGTGGTGTGAACAGAATGGAGTGTGTGCAAGAATAAGTTAACACATCTGAAATCTTTTGCTGCCCCTGTGTGGCAGACGGAAATATACAGAGATACAAAAACTCAATTCAGCCACATAAACGCCACATAAACTGAGGAATAGTTTCAAATCTATAGGCCTGTAGGTCTACATTTTGTCATTGACCCCACACTGGTACTGTTATTAACTGTTTTCAGGAATAGAACAAAAGTACATTGGTGAGGTTTTTAAACTTCAGGCGCAAAAATGCTTAAAACCTCTTTCAGCTTGAATTTAAATGCAGTTTATTTAAAAAAGATGTATATATTTGCAGCTTTGTACTGTGAGTGCTTAACACGCTACTGAGCTTGCATCATTGCTTTTGAGGTTTAGAAGTATTTTTGAATCCAGTTTATTTATAGAGATTAAGATTTAGTTTCAGATGGTGCTTTTAGCTACACTACAGCATTTTATGAAAGCTTGTTTCCACCAGAGGATAACAAAAAAAGGGGGAACTGTGAACTTCTCACAACTCTGACTTTTTTTCTTGCAATTCTGAGAAAAAAAAGTCAAAATTGTGAGATATGAACTTGCAATTGTGAGAAAACAAAGTCATCATAATTCTAACTTTTTTTCTCACAGTTCTGAGAATATAAACTGAGAATTACAAGATATAAACTCATAATTCTGAGAAAAAAGTCAGATTTACGAGATGTAATAAGTGAGATAAAAAGCCGCGATTACTTTTTTCTTTCATTTCTTTTATTTTGGGTTAAAAAAAAACTGAATTGCAAGATGTAAGCTTGGAATTTGCGAGAAAAAAAAGTCAGAATTACGAGATATAGCCTAAACGCAGAATTGCAAGGCGTAAACTTGGAATTGCAAGGAAAAAAGGTCCGAAGTTTATATCTTGCAATTATGACTTCTTTTTCCTCAGAATTCCAAGAAAAAAAGTCTGAATTGTGAGATATAAAGCTGCAATTTCCTTTTTTATTTTTTATCTCGTGGCAGAAACAGGCTTCCCTAGCATTTTCTGTGTGAAACTGCTGGTAAAAAAGCAAACAAACAAACATGTTTTTCATTTCGTTAATGAAGGACATCGCATTCCCTATAAAGGGCGTGTTGAATATGCATAGAATATGCTTTTAATTGCACATCATGTATGGAACTATACACACATGCTGTATAGAATATAATTTCTGTACCAAGTAGATTTTCTGTGTTAGCAAACAGCCACCTCTGCTGTTAGCGGACCTCACAAACAACTAGACTGACTGACAGTTTGAGTGAGATTTGCCAAAGTGTTAATGGTGGGAAATCATTTAATTTCTTCGAATGATGGATATGTAACACAAACACTAAAAGTTGGATATTAACACCCAACAACCAGAGCGCACAATGTAATTGTTGCTTGTTCATTTTATTTGAAATGTATGAAATGTACTGTAGCTACTATTTGGTTTAGTCATTTTCCATATCTTCTGTCTATCATTAAAATTTCTGCTTGAGAAACACCCTCACTGTTATTTATAGCTCTTCTTTAGATTTTTTGTTTGCTTTGTTTTGTTATTTTTTAAACTCCAGATTTAATAAAATGTTTCTGTTTTATTTTACATTAAGTGACAAATAAAGCGATTAAATAAAAAGTCAAGTCAAGTCAAGTCACCTTTATTTATATAGCGCTTTACAATAGTCCAGTCTAGAGGTCATGAATGCATGAACTAGCTTTTCTGCATCAGAAACAGGTATCATGTTTCGTAAAAAGATGATCCTTCTCAGACATGCACTGTACTACGTTTCTATGAGAATATGAAATAAGAATTATAAGTTAAAACAACATACAGGCATCTACAACCCCCTACAAAAAGATGAATTCTATGTATGATTAGCCTATACTAAAACATTACAACAATACAGGACTTAAAGGGGTCATATGATGCGATTTACATTTTTCCTTTCTCTTGTGAAAGCGAAACTACTTTGTTTGGCCTTCCAAAAGAGGACACGACTAGAAATCAGTGGTTAAGTTGTATTTACAACACTGTTCCAGAACAGTTCAACCCAAATATCCAGATGTGTGCAGCGCATTTTATGGAGGACTGTTTCCTGATCCTGGTAGAGTAGACTACAATGCCGGCTGTTCTGACTCACAGACTGTAAGTAAGTTTTTTATATTTAAAGGATTTGCCTCTGACGATTCAAGCGCGAGTTTTGGGCAGTGTAGAGTAGCACTTGTTGTTTGTCATTTCTCTGATCACAAATGCAGACATGGTTTTATGTTTATGCGGCGCGATGCAACTCGTAAAAAGACAGTATAAGTCATTATAATCCGTAATTATGTCCCCACTGTATGCAACAAATGCCTCGTTTATAATGGGTTTCTAATGTTTTTGTCTTGTCGCTCCGGCCGAACAGGGCATCACAGTATGGTAAGGGGCGTAACATTTCCGTCACATGCTTGAGGTATCCGGCCAATCACGACACACTGGATAGCTGGCCAATCACAGCACACCTCACTTTTCAGAACGATGAGCTTTGTAAAAACGACGCATTTCAGAAAGGCGGGGCATAGAGGAGGAACAATAATGTACAGTATGTGGAAAATAATGTGTTTTTTGAGACTTAAACCGCATAAACACATTTCATTACACCAAATACACCAAATAATGTTCTTTTTAGCAACATCATATGACCTCACAAGCTCTATAATAGAATAAAAGCACTTTCTTGTTCCTTTGGTTGATTCCTAAGAAAATAAAATGATCATAGAATTGCCTCAAAAACCTACTGGGGGCGTTAAATTAACCAGCATTTAAACCGGTTTGTGTCATAATCTGGCTCTGTCTACATTGCATTTTGTCAGCTTTAAACCCAGTATTATGATGTGCAATGGTATAAGCAACTAAAGCACGTCCAGTTGGGTCATTGTTTAATGCATGGCAGAGTACAAACAATGTTCTCTAATCATACTTATCCCCAATGATTTCCAGTTGGTGATGTCTCCATACACATAGAAAAACAAGTTCAAGAGTTTTTAAGAGTGAGAATAACTGCTCTCCATGGCCTCTACACTACTAGAACTGAATCTTTAAGGAATAGTGAATCATGCAGTGCATTAGTCTACATAGTTCTTCCCTCAAAGAAATATTTCCCTGTGACCTTGGTCATTTTTTTCCTAAAAATGATCTAATAACCATCTGCACGGGTTTAGCCACAATATTGAAACAAATTGTTTTTGTTGCCAGTTTGAATTGCAGTAAGTCTAAAGTTATAGTCACCACCATTGCCTTTATTGTATTTCTTTCCTATAAGTGTAAAGTATTTGAGTAAATGTAATTAATTACTGTACTTGAGTATCTTTTTGGATACTCTGTAGTTTTACTGTGTATCAAAGATATTAGCAAGTTTTACTCTCTACTTTTATACGATACATTATATAAATACAAATTATACATATAAATTATGTATAATATAAATTATACATTTATATTATACACTTATACATTTTTGAATAAGTATCTGTACTCTTTACTCTACTACATTTGTAATGAGTGTTGCAATTACACATTACATTTTGCATGGTACCAAGCTTTTTCTGCAGCAGTTTATTTCTGCTACAAAAGAAGTGATATCGCCAACTACGGGACACTGAAAGTACTAGGCCTATATCTTATGAGTTTTGCACTTACTCACCCAAACTTGTCAACAAGGATACTTTATATAAATGCGAGTTCCTTAGCAATGCGAATGAGGCTGAAACCAGCTCATCTAATGCAAGAAAGTTTTGACTTTTTAATTTTACTTAACATTATTTTTTCACTATCCTCCTGTATTCTTATCCTGTAATTGTTGTAAAAGTTCAGTAAACAAATTAAGCAAAAAAAAAAAATTATTATATGTATGTATTAACATTATTTTATTTATACTGAAGATAACTTTTTGTAGGATATTGTTTTTAGTTTTTTTTGGGGGGTTAATAAAATAAAATAATCAGTTTTATTTTGATTTTAGAAAATAAACGTGATTGCTCTTTTCACAAATCAGCTCTTTCTTGTTTTTCACTGGTATGTCTCTTTGACTAGTGCATCTTTGAGCCTATATTTAGTATAAGTAAAATAATTAAGTACTGTTAAAATCAGATAGGCTACTCTAAGACTTTTACTCGAGTTGTTTTGAAATTGGTGACTTGTAACGTGTAGTTGATGTTCCCTGTAAGATAACTGGTATAACTGGTATGGATAATATCACTAATATGTACAAAACAGTGTAGTCTTTCATACACTTGCATCAAATTGTATTTCTATAAAATAACTTGAATGACGAAGTTGCGTGATTGGGTAGACAGGTAGCTTTTCATGGCTTCCTGATTTCAGCATGAGTCGCTGGTGAGGGAGTGTCTGGCGGAATCCATTTTTTTTGGCGGGTTAGCATCAACTGTGCTGAGACTGGAGAGGATGGATGCAGGTAGTATGGATGATGATGATAAAATGGCTAAAGAGTCACTTAATCTGAATACTCCTACTATTTCAGTTTCACTAAGCAGGATGGAGGGGAAAAGTATAATTAAAGAAGCTTGCAATTGGAAATGGCAAGGGGGTTGGAATGACTGTAAAACAGGAAGACATTTTTATAATATACAAAACAGGGTAAGTCAAAGCAAAATGATACCGAACTTAAGTAGAGAAGATCAGGTCATTTTAGCAAGACTAAGGATGGGTCATAGTTAACTTAATTCTACACTTCATATAATAGGAAAACACAGTACTGGATTATGTGAAACATGCCAAGTAAAGGAAACAGTTGATCATGTGTTGTTACTCTGTCCTAGGTATGAACAGGAAAGGAATGAACTACAAAGAGAATTACAGAACTTAGGATGCAATGAATTTTCAATCTGCAACATATTAAACACAAAACAAGGATGTGGTAAAATAATAAAGACAATTTTAAAATTCATTAGGAATAGTGGACTTAAGAATAGCATATAGAATTCATAATATATACCTAGACTGAAATCACTTCACACTCCAGCACAGGAGGTGGCGGTATGCACCTTAAAAGCTGGTATGCGACCCGCCAATAAATCCACAGAAGAAGAAGAAGTTGCGTGATTGTATTGTAGTTGCAAAGTCTCCCACTAGACGGCGGGACAACGAACAAGAGCAACGTGTTTTTTTTTGTTTT